AGGACAATACTAGCTTTGGCCCACTGACTCTAACAGGCTTCAGCTACCCACTGTCCTCAGGACAACACTAACTTTGGCCCACTGACTCTAATAGGCTTCGGCCTACTCACTCTCCTCAGGACGACACTAGCTTTGGCCCACTGACTCCAATAGGCTTTGGTTTACTCACTCCCCTCAGGACGACACTAGCTTGGCCCACTGACTCTAACAGGCTTCGGCCTACTCACTCTCCTCAGGACGATACTAGCTTTGGCCCACTGGCTCTAAAAGGCTTCGGCCTACTCACTCTCTTCGGAACGACACTAACTTTGGCCCACTAACTCGAATAGGCTTTGGCCTCCTAATTCACTCAGTGCTGTATTCACATTTTTGTAATTAAAAATACCTAGTTAATTTTCAATATTTCTGACAGATCAGGCTTAAAATGCTCGTTAAGGACAATATTAAGGGGAATGCACAACAAAAGTGATCCCAGGCGCTTGGTAGGCCCCTGTTTGGACTGCAGCTTCCAGTTGGGAGTCCAGAAAAGGATCTTTCTCTGAGTTTCTTTCACTGCTCTCTTTCACCTGTATATATGTCTCTTTGTGTGTGTGTTGTGTTGTGTGTGTATTGGCGATTGCCTCTGCATAGGTTCAGGAAGAGCGGGATGAGCTGTACCGGAAGTTCACCAAAGCCATCAACGAGGTGCAGCAGAAGACGGGCTTCAAGAATCTGCTGCTGGAGCGGAAACTGCTGGGCCTGGCCAACATCCTGGAGAAGAAGGAGGTCCAGCTCAATGAGATCCTGGCCGCTTCCAACCTGGACCCTGCCGCCCTCAGTGTCGTCACCCGCAAGCTGGAGGTAGGCCATTCCCCACGAAACTATATCTAGATGATTTTATTTACCCTTCCCAACTGCCGCTTACCTGTCCAAACGTATTTCTCCCTACAGTCAGTAGCATATAATACTAGCATTGAGCTAGTGTTAGGAATTCTGGGAGTTGGGAGTCCAAAACACCTGGAGGGCCAAAGTTGGCCCGTGCCTTGGGTAGTTGGTCCTTTGTTTCAGGGCTCTCCCTTGCTCCAGCCCCTTCCCACTGAGCCAGGTGTCCTCTTCAAGGGCAGCCACCAAGCAGTCAAGGAGACTGCGGACATCCCAGTGGCTCCTTGGGATGGAAATTTCAGCCTCTGGGGACCTGGGAATGGTCTCTGCTGCTAAGACATTCCAAGCCCTTCTGGCGCCAGTAACACGAGAGGGGCAGGGCAAAGGAGCCCCTCTCTCCTTCAGCTGCCTCTGCCTTGAGGCTTCCGCATTCCAGGGCTCAGCTGCCACTTCTCAGGGACAAAGTACCTCTGCAAGGAACTTCCTCCATCTGTCCATTGCTGGGCCTTGCCCCCAGAAGTCTGGCACCAAAAAAGGCAGCATTCCCTCATCAGCAGAGATGGGATTGGTGCCCTTCCGATATCCCCTTCCCCTGGGAACCAAAGGAACTTTCATCTCCTGAGTCTGATAGACACAGCTTAGAAACATGCCTTCTTTGGGCCATAGTTCCCAAAACCTCCTGCTGACCCTGCTGGCCATGGATGCTGGGGACTGTTGTCCAAAAACACCTGCAGTCTAACTCAGGGCTATCAAACCATTTTAATTGAGGGCCACATCAAACTTATTTATTTATTTATTTATTTACGACATTTATATGCCGCCCTTCTCACCCCGAAAGGGACTCAGAGCGGCTTACAAGTCATAAGTACATACAACATACTACATAATACATAACTAGCATAGTACTATTACATCATTCATAACACTAGTACTACATAATATTACATTATTGCTAGGGGAGGGGCGCTGATGTCTTGTTATGGTTGCCTTCAAAGAGCTGTTGAATCCATGGACGGAGAATCCATGGAAACAGAGAGAAGACCGACTATAATATATACCGTATATTCCGGGGTACTAGATGACTTTTTAGGCATTTAAAACCTTATAAAATTTTGGGGGTCGTCTAGTATGCCGGGTATAAAATTAAAATAATAATAAAATTACATACTATGGCTGCCTTGGCCTCGGGCTCCCCTCCTCCTCCTCCTCCTCCTCCTCCTCCTCTCCCCTCCTCCTCCTCCGCCTTGGCTCATGGCGGCCTCCCGGGAAGGCTCCCCATCCTTCCTCCCTTCCTGGCTGCCTTCCTTGCTCAGGCCCAGGCCTCTCCTTTGTTGGCGGCTGGGCCCCTGGGTTGCTTCCCGTGCTGCTCAGACTACTCTCCTTTCTGGCCAGGCCTTGCGCGAAGAGCCTCTTCTCCGGTGAGACAACATTGTCTTGCAGGAGAAGAGGCGCTTCACGCAAGGCCTGGCCAGGAAGAAACAGATCAGACTGATCAGAAGGGCCTCCCGCACTACTCAGGCTGCTCCCCTTCTTCCTGTCCAGGCCTCGCAAGAAGTGCCTTTTCTCCTGCGAGACAACATTGTCTCACAGGAGAAGAGGCGCTTCGTGCAAGGCCTGGCCAGGAAGGAGAGTGGCCTCAGCAGCGCCGGAGGCCCTTCTGGAGGCGGTGCAGGAAGGCCCTTCTGATCAGGCCGCTCTCCGTCTTCCAGGCCAGGCCTCGGGACTAAAATGATCAAGGGTCTGGAGAACAAGCCCTATGAGGAGCGGCTTAAGGAGCTGGGCATGTTTAGCCTGAAAAGAGAAGGCTGAGAGGAGATATGATAGCCATGTATAAATATGTGAGAGGAAGCCACAGGGAGAGGGAGCAAGCTTGTTTTCTGCTTCCCTGGAGACTAGGACGCGAAACAATGGCTTCAAACTACAAGAAAGGAGATTCCATCTGAACATTAGGAAGAACTTCCTGACTGTGAGAGCTGTTCAGCAATGGAACTCTCTGCCCTGGAGTGTGGTGGAGGCTCCTTCTTTGGAAGCTTTTAAACAGAGGCTGGATAGCCATCTGTCAGGGGTGCTTTGAATGCAATTTTCCTGCTTCTTGGCAGAATGGGGTAGGACTGGATGGCCCATGAGGTCTCTTCCAACTCTAGAATTCTATGATTCTATGACTCTGGCCATGAAAGCCTTTGACAATACATTAAACAGAGTAAACTGTAGCCTTCCAGATGCTCGTGTGTCCCAACTCTCATCAGCTCTTGTCATGATGTCTAATGATGAGGAATACAGGAGTGGTAGACCACCATCTGGAGGAGGGCCACATAAAAGGTCTTGGAGGAACAGATTTGTCTCGTAGGCCTTGAGTTAGACACATGTGGTCTAAGACAATCTTCTTTTCCAGGATGTGCTGGATTCCAAAAACAATGCTATCAAAGACCTGCAGTATGAGCTGGCCAGAGTGTGCAAGGTAAGAACCACAGAAACAAGGAGGGAGCCTTTTCTGTCTCCAAAGGCCTATTGGCAGGCCTCATTAGACCTCCAGACCTCACCCGGGTGCTCCCATTTGGAGCCGTTCACCTCTGGGTTCTGGAGTTCAGTATTTATAACTGTGTGTCCTTCACCTCTTCCTGCAGGCGCATAATGACTTGCTACGGACCTACGAGGCCAAGCTGATGGCCTTTGGGGTTCCTTTGGACAATCTTGGCTTCAAGCCGCTGGAGACCTCTGTCCTGGGCCACGCCTTGGGCCAGGGCCCCGCGGGGTTCGTCTCCACTCCCACGTAGCAGAACCAACAGGCCTGGTTCTTTGGAACAATGGCAGCTGGAGAGCCCGGTTTGGAGGAAGAAGGCCGGGCCAGAAGGAAGCAGCAGACTTGGGACAGACCTCCGGGCAGGAGCCCACAGCCTTCCTGTGCATTAAACAGGCCCTGATTTATGAAGGGGCTTTTTCTATCTGGTCTCAGGTGTCCTCCTCCCCTGCGTGAGCCCATGACATCTTTTTGGCCCCTTATCAAGCGCATCAACCACACACACACATGCCATCCCCATTCCAGACAGTCATCTCATTAAAAGAAGAAGCTTTCAAGAAGTGGCCTTTGCATCACTCTTGCAAGCAGCCCTGCAAGGTAGGCAACTTTGCCCCACATTTAATGATAGGCAGCAGGTTGTATCCAAGACAGGGGTTCCTCATGTTGTGGGAACCCCCAATCATAAAATTATTTTTGTTGCTACTTCATGACTATAATTTTGCTACTGTTATGAATCATAATGCAAATATCTGATAAGCAGAATGTATTTTCATTCACTGGACCAAATTTGGCACAAATACACCCGAATTTGAATACTGGTGGGTTGGGAGGGATTGATTTTGTCATTTGGGAGTTGTAGTTGCTGGGATTTATAGTTAACATACAATCAAAGAGCATTCTGAACTCCACCAACGAGGAAATTGAACAAAACTTGGCACACAGAAGGCCCATGACTAACAGAAAATACTAGAAGGGTTTGGTGGGCATGGGCCTTGAGTTTTGGAGTTGTAGTTCACCTACATTCAGAGGATACTGTGGACTCAAACAATAATAGATCTGAACCAAACTTGGCATGTATACTCAATATGCCCAAATGTGGAGTTTGGGGAAAATAAATCTTGACATTTGGGAGTTGTAGTTGCTGGGATTTATAGTTCACCTACAATCAAAGAGCCCCACCATCAATCAAATTAGGCCACACAGAACCCCTATGCTTTGAGGGGACTCACTAACGTGAGCCTCCCTCCAGCCTCGCACACTCTCTCTCACCCGCACATTTGCACCATGTTGCCATGCGCTAAACATGCCTGCTCTCCCCTCCTCAGTTGGAGTCTCAGAAACAGCCCTCCTCTTAGCTGAGAGGTTGGCCAATCACAGCGGAGGAGGGCTCGTGTCTGTTTTCCAAAAGGAAGAGAAGGACAGACGGAGAGATCTTCAGCCTTCTCTGCCAAAGGGGTTCCTAAGACCATCAGAAATATATGTTTTCTAATGGTCTTTGGTGACTCCCCTGAAAACCCCTCATAACACCCCCCCCCCAGGGGTCCCGACCTCCAGGTTGAGAAACGCTGCATTAAAAGAAGCTTTCAAGAAGTGGTGTTTTCATCACTCTTACAAGCAGTCCTGCAAGGTAGGCAACTTTGCCCCATATTTAATGATAAGCAGCAGATTGTAGCCAAGATAGGGGTGGCGATAATGATGGAGGTGGAGATGCATTCACATTTGGAAACCAGCCATTGTTTAGTTGCCCCTGTAAGTGGTGTAGGAATAGGGGCTCATCAGCAGCGGGATGTGGACCTTCTGTTCCTCCTCTGTGATGGTGAAGACAACCTGGAAGAAAAGAAGAAGGGCAAGATGCATAGGGGAGCATGGGAGAAGCATTGCCATCCCCGAGGCCAGTGTTTCTCAACCTTCCTAATGCCATGGCCCCTTAATGTTGTTCCTTATATTGTGGTAACCCCAAACATAACATTATTTTCATTGCTACTTCATAACTGTAATTTTGCTACAGTTATGAATTGTAAGGTAAATATCTGATATGCAGGATGTATTTTCATTCACTGGACCAAATTTGGCACAAATACTTTGATACGCCCAAATTTGAATACTGGTGGTGTTGGGGGGGGGGGTTGATTTTGTCATTTGGGAGTTGTCGTTGCTGGGATTTATAGTTCACCTACAATCAAAGAGCATTCTGAACTCCACCAACGATGGAATTGAACCAAACTTGGCACACAGAAGTCCCGTGACCAACAGAAAATACGAGAAGTGTTTGGTGGGCATTGGCTTGAGTTTTGGAGTTGTAGTTCACCTACATCCAGAGAACACTGTGGACTCAAACAAAGATGGATCCTGACCAAACTTGGCATGAATACTCAATATGCCCAAATGTGAACACTGGTAGAGGTTTGGGAAAATAGACCTTGACATTTGGGAGTTGTAGTTGCTGGGATTTATAGTTCACCTACACTCAAAGAGCATTCTTAACCCCACCAACGATTGAATTAGGCCAAACTTCCCACACAGAACCCCCATGCCTTGAAGGGACCGTTGGCGCAAGCCTCCATCCAGCCTTGCATGCTCTCCCTCACCCGCACATGCGCGCTACACTGCTGTGCACCAAGCACACCTGCTCTCCCCTCCTGAGTCTCAGAAACCACCCTCCCCTTGGCTGAGAGGCCAGCCAATCACAGCAGGGGAGGGCTTTTGATGGGAAGATTCCCCGTTTGTTTCCAAAAAGAGAAGGACAGGTGGAGAGATCTTCAACCTTCTCTGCCAAAGGGGTTCCTAAGGCCATTCAGAATAATATGTTTTCTAGTGGTCTTTGTTGACCACTCTGAAACGCCCCTCATGACCCTCCCAGGACTCCTGACCCCCAGCTTGAGAAATGCTGCCTTAGGCCATGGTGCCCCAAACACACAGCCATTGTGACCCCCCATCTGAGGTTTTGGAGAGCTGCTGGTAAAAATTAAAATCCCCTTTCCCTAAGCTGTATTTATTTATTTTGTCCCGAGAAAATGGCAACTACTCGTGGCATATGTTCTGTATCTGAAATTAGAGCTAATGTGGTCTATCCAATGCAATTTTCCGAATTAGCACCCCAGATAACCAAATTGAATCTAAAGTTGACCAAAAACTCATTCGTAACCCTTTTGGTACTAATGTTGGAGAGTGATCCCTGTCAAAGTGGTCCCTGGTCAAAAAAAGCTTGGGAACCACTATTGTAAGTGGACTTAGGGGCGTAGGAATTAGAAATCGGTGTGGAACTGTACTTGATGCAGCCAATGACTGGATATGTCCATTGCATATGACAAGTGGAAGGGTACCTTGTCTATATGTAATGGATAGTTCTGGGTTTGCTCCTTAGGGGTCCTTCGTGGCCGGTTCCTCGGCTTCCTACCCTAATGCTCATCATCCACTGTAACAGCCATAATAAGGGCCTTCCTGCTTCCCTTTCCTCCACATTTTACCCGAATCGAAACGTACTTCTACATAAGGGTAGAAGCTGTGGTGGCCTTGCTGCTGCCAGTACTCCCCCGTCTCGAAGCGCAGCTTGTAGGTCCCAGCCTTTAGCCGCAGGGAGGTCAAGCTGCTCTTGTCCAGGCGTCCATCCACATTGGTTGTGCTGCAAGAGAAAGGCACGAACGGCTTCAGCAGCACTGCCAGCCCTAGAGAACTAAACCCATTTTGCACTACTCAATGATTGCACTCTGATTTATCTTCAACCACCAGAGTTGAAGAGGATTTGCACTCAAGGGGCTGGTATTAAAAATCCCAGTGACTCAAAATGACAAATCTGTCGTGTTTAATTGTCCCTGTGATTCTAGAGCAGGGGTCCTCAAACTAAGGCCCAAGGGCCAGATACGGCCCTCCAAGGTCATTTACCTGGCCCTCGCTCAGGGTCAGCCTATATGTGAACTGGCTTGAAAGCAAACAACAACAACAACAACAACCCTATCTCATCAGCCAAAAACAGGCCCATACTTCCAACTGAAATACTAATAAATTTATATTTGTTAAAATTATTCTTTTTAATTATTGTATTGTTTTTAAGTGTTTTTTTGCACTACAAATAAGATATGTGCAGTGTGCATAGGAATTCATATTTTTTTTTCAAATTATAATCCGGCCCTCCAACAGATTGAGGGACTGTGACCTGGCTCTCTGTTTAAAAAGTTCGAGGACTCCTGTTCTAGAGTGTATATATTGGTATTCCTGGTTTCCAGTTTCTCCCAAACCAGCTCCGCTGCATTCATTGTTGTTAGTCGCTGCTCTTTGTCGATCCACATAGTTCACACACAGCACCCCGAGGGGGGACATGGCAGATTTCATAATGCCACCTCCAACGTTAGCTTCAAAATAAATGTTTAAACCACTTGGGGGGGAAATACAAATCTCAGGACAATGGAAAGTGTTCCAGCCCCCTTTCCCCTCCTACCTGTTCATCAGCTCTATCCAGGACTTCTTGGGATCCTCCAGCTCCATGAAGCGCACAACCAGCCCTGCAGCCGGAATGCCGGTGACTACGTTCAGCGCATGAACCGTGAGGGAAGCGTGCGGCTCCCCTTCTCCAGCAGGAGCCTGGAATTCAAGGGTGAGAGTCAGGAGAATCGTAGTCGGAAGAGATCACATTGGCCATCTAGTCCAACCCCATTGTGCCATGCAAGAAAGGAATGCACCTTGCCTACCTCCAAGGCCAGGTCTTCCAGGAGCTGGGCAAATCGCCCTGCCTTTTGCAGCTACCATATGTCCACCCTTGCCTTCAGAAACCCACCCTTTCCAGACTCTGATCTGCCCTTCCTCCTGCCATTCCTCTGCATGGGGCTTCTCTCACCACTCTCCCTGCAAGCGGCTCTCCATTCCTGAGCGGAGACTGGCCTCTCCGGTCCATCCTTCCCAACCAAGCCGGGCCCTTTGGCACCTGAAGGCAGCCCTGACTCAGCAGATGAGGTTAACCTTTTGGGTGCTGCAAGGGAGAGCCCAAGCTGGCCACTGAAACCACATAATAGGGAAAGAATTAATGTGGGTTAAAGCCAGGTTCATGTCCCTCACCATAAAGGTGAAGGAAGATAACAATAATTGGACAGAAATCCTAAAATATATGACAGCTGCAATACAGGCCACAATAGCCCGGGGATGGAGAGATGATACAAAATCGGATTTGGAAACCTGGTGGACCTATCTATCAAAATATATAATTAATGATTTTATCAATCAAAGGAAAAACAAGCATATAAATAGACAAATAGAACAAGACTGGTTTAGGAAATGGTCTGTGTTAATTGACAAAATAGACGGAGATGACAGATACAGCATTATGAACCAGGCTTTCCACACAGTTAAATTGATGCAATTTGACATGGTTTAGACTTGCTGTTCCGGGGGGCGGGGGGGGGGGGGTTTGTTGGGTGATACAGAACTAAGGAATGTATAGAATGTCATTTAAGGAATATTTATTTTTGGAATAATGTGTATTGAAAATGATAAAAGGTCTGGAGAACAAGCCCTATGAGGAGCGGCTTAAGGAGCTGGCCATGTTTAGCCTGAAGAAGAGAAGGCTGAGAGGGGATATGATAGCCATGTATAAATATGTGAGAGGAAGCCACAGGGAGGAGGGAGCAAGCTTGTTTTCTGCTTCCCTGGAGACTAGGACACGGAACAATGACTTCAAACTACAAGAGAGGAGATTCCATCTGAACATGAGGAAGAACTTCCTGACTGTGAGAGCTGTTCAGCAGTGGAACTCTCTGCCCCGGAGTGTGGTGGAGGTTCCTTCTTTGGAAGCTTTTAAACAGAGGCTGGATGGCCATCTGTCAGGGATGATTTGAATGCAATATTCCTGCTTCTTGGCAGAATGGGGTTGGACTGGATGGCCCATGAGGTCTCTTCCAACTCTTTGATTCTATGATTCTAAGTCCTGCATGACAAAATTTTGTTGACTGTTGGGATGTATAAAATAAAATAAAATAATAATAAAATAAATAAAATAAAATAAAATAAATAAAATTTAAAAAGCTGGCCACTGAAACCACTAACAAGAAGGGGTTCTGGGGTTCTGTCCAGGTCCAGGAAGGATTTGCAAGAGTGGAGCAGGTCTCCCAGTCAGGGGCTGGAAAAAGACAACTCTAGAGTTGGAGGAGACACAACCAAAGCCCTCCTGACAGATGGCCATCTAGCCTCTAAATCTTAGAAGCCTATTGTTGGAAGAGACCCCAAGGGTCATCCAGTCCAGCTCCATTGTGCCATGAAGGAACACAACCAAAGCCATTCTATGATTCTGAGCCATAGAATTCTAGGGTTAGAAGAGATCCCAGAGACCATCTAGTCCAGCCTCGTTGTGTCAGGAAGGAATACAATCAATGCTCTCTCAACAGATGGCCACACAGCCTCCAAATCTTAGAATCCTAGGGTTAGAGAGACCCCAGAGGCCATCTGTAATGGTTCTGGCTCATCTTAGAAAGTTGAAACGTGGCCTACCTTAAAGGGCTGGTGTGTGAGCAGCTATTTTGTAGGAGCCGCAGCACCGGTGTAGAAGCTATTTGCATGAGAGCAACCTGATTAGCCGTATGCAAATGAGTAGGTGCCATGATTTGAAAGATGGGAGAGTCAAGGATGATAGTTGGAGAATAGGCCTGGGCAATCCGTGGTTCTAAATGGTTCTAAAGTACTTACAAAACTAAAGTTCTGGTGGTGAAAATTTCAGAACTCTAACAAAACTCTCAAAATTTCATTATAAATGGCAGTTCCTAATTGGTTCTGTCATAAAAATCACCCATAATGAAATAATAATTAAATTTTGAAAGTTTTGTTAGAGTTCTGAAATTTTCACCACCAGAACTTTAGTTTTGTAAGTACTTTAGAACCATTTAGAACCACGGATTGCCCAGGCCTACTGGAGAAGCCTAAGTGAACATTCTGGGGAGTTGGTTAGTGAGCTAGCGTCAGGGAGGACATTAGCTGGAAAGACTGGGAAAAATTAGTCACAGGAATAGGTTGAAGATAGTTCAAAATCTATTTTTATGTAGGAATGTAACAGTCCTTTTGGAGAAAAGGAAAAGATTGAATGGAAGTTATACTGAAACATTGTTCTGTAACCACCAACCATTTATACCTTTGTAACCATTACGCTCTTGCCTCAAAATGCTACAAATAGAGTTACATTTTAAACAAAGCCTCTTTTTCAATATCTCATCTCCAACTCAAGAAGTCACAAAAAGTGGAAGAAGAGTTAAACAATCTTTTATTCTTGAGTGGTATGTTTGCACAGGCTGGCAGCCTGCCCCCTCCCTGACTGTTTTACGTCTTTGGTGAGATAAATAAATAAAAGGAATCCTTCTGCCACGCAACAAGTTAGAGAGCCACACATATTTATTGGTGGCAAGTGGTGGGATAGCAAAATAAAGGTCCACCCTGCCAAAGGTTGTTTTCTACGTTCTTTCATTTCACCATCTAGTCCAGCCCCATTGTTTCAGGAAGGAACACAATCAAAGCTCTCTCAACAGATAGCCACACAGCCTCCAAATCTTAGAATCCTAGGGTTAGAAAGACCCCAGAGGCCATCTAGTTAACTCTATTGTGTCAGGAAGGAACACAATCAAAGCTCTCTCAACAGATGGCCACACAGCCTCCAAATCTTAGAATCCTAGGGTTAGAAAGACTCCAGAGGCCATCTAGTTCAACTCCATTGTTTCAGGAAGGAACACAATCAAAGTTCTCTCAACAGATGGCCACACAGCCTCCGAATCTTAGAATCCTAGGGTTAGAAAGACCCCAGAGGCCATCTAGTTCAACTCCATTGTGTCAGGAAGGAACACAATCAAAGCTCTCTCAACAGATGGCCATCCCAAAGGCAGTGAGTGCTTCCAGTGGCAAAAAGAAAAGCATAAACATAGGAAGAAGAGAAATTTTACTGTTGGAGGGGCAGCCATCGATGGACTCATGGCCGTTGCTGTTGCCTTCAAATTCTCTACTGCTTCTTCTGCATTGGCAGTCAAGGAGGATTGCTGCAAAATAATGATTCTGTTTGTGTGTTTGGCAAGGCAGCACCGAAAGAAAGGAATGGGAACATACATGTTATATTTCCCCCCATTGCTGGGATTCACAAAAGCACTTAAAACAAATGCAAATTAATTTATGTAGAACAACGAAGTTATTCTCAGATTTCAATCACGCAACCTGCACAATTAAAGCTCATTTGAAATTCAATGAAAGAGAAGCTGTAAAGGGGGTTAAGCCTTCTGCATTGGAGGAAAACTGTCCTACCTGAATGGGATGAAGGAGAAAAAGCAGGAGGGAGATCACAGGATATCCCATCATCCTGTATCAGTTCACTGGATGCTTTGTGGCCTTGTGGGAGCCTTTGGGCGAAAGGGACGGCAATGCAGAGGGATCCTATCCAGCCGAGGCAAAGTCTTGTTTGCGCAGATAATCTTGGCAGGATATTAGCTGGAGTCTTGCTTTCATAACATGAGCCAAACCCAATGCCAAAAAAGGATATTGAACATGCAATTCATTTGGAGCATGGAACTCCCCATTAAAATCTCCATCCACTACAACAAAGCATGTATACAATTAAGAGCAAAAGATGACTCGGGATGCAGGGCGTTGGGTAATTTATAGTCTCCTGTATGTTCAATGGACAACATCTCTGCATATTGTTGTTGTTATGCTACCTTTCAAAGAGACTCGAAAGCAGAAAACTATGCTAAAACTAATACAATATGCCATTTAAAACCTAAAGACTATAAACTCTAAAATAGAATAGGAGCTAAAGCTATCTAAAATGAATAGTTAAAGCAACATATTATCTGATATTGATACACACAGAAACACACTAGCCGTGCTGTAACGATTCTGGCTCACCTTGGAAAGCTGAAACGTGACCTATCTTGGAAAATTAGTCAGAGGAATAGGTTGAAGATAGTTTGAAATCTGTTTTATGTAGGAATGTAATAGTCCTTTTGGAGTAAAGGAAAAGGTTGAATGAAAGTTATACTGAAACGTTGTTCTGTAACCACTAATCATTTATGCCTTTGTAACCATTACGCTTTTGCCTCTAAACCAGTCTTTCTCAACCTTCCTAATGCCGCGACCTCTTAATACAGTTCTTCATGTTGTGGTGACCCCCCAACCATAACATTATTTTGCTACTTCATAACTGTAATTTTGCTCCTGTTATGAATCATAATGTAATTAATTATCTGATAAGCACGATGTATTTTCATTCACTGGACCAAATTTGGCACAAATACCCGATATGCCCAAATTTGAATAGTGGTGGGATTGGTTGGGGGGAGGGGGATTGATTGATTTTGTCATTTGGGAGTTGTAGTTGCTGGGATTTATAGCTCACCTACAATCAAAGAGCATTCTTAACCCCACCAACAATTTAATTGGACCAAACTTGGCACACAAAGAAGCCAACAGAAAACACTGGAAGGGTTTGGTGGGCATTGACCTTGAGTTTGGAGTTGTAGTTCACCTACATCCAGAGAGCACCGTGGACTCAAACAATGATGGATCTGTACCAAACATGGCACAAATACTCAATATGCCCAAATGTGAACACTGGTGGAGTTTGGGGAAAATAGATCTTGACATTTTGGAGTTGTAGTTGCTGGGATTTATAGTTCACCTACAATCAAAGAGCATTCTGAACCCCACCAACAATCGAATTGGGCCAAACTTCCCACGTAGAACCCCCATGACCAACAGAAAATACTGTGTTTTCTGAAGGTCTTTGGCGACCCCTCTGACACTCCCTGGCGCCCCCCGCAGGGGTCCCAACCCCCAGGTTGAGAACCACTGCTCTAAACGCTACAAATAAACAGTTACTGTTTCATTTTTAAACAAAGCCTCTTTTTCAATATCTCACCTCCAACTCAAGAAGTCACTAAAGGTGGAAGAAGAGTTAAACAATCTTTTATTCTTGAGTGGTATGTTTGCACAGGCTGGCAGCCTGCCCCCTTCCTGACCGTTTTACGTCTTTGGTGAGATAAATAAATAAAAGGCATCCTTCTGCCACGCAACAATTTTGAGTGCCTCACATATTTATTGGTGGCAGTGGTGGGATAGAAATATAAGATCCCTCCTGCCATGCGACAGATTGGAGTGCATTTCTCGTGCCCTGCCACACATTGCTGTGGTCTATGGTAAGAATTTTTGAAGTAGAGGTAACTCTCTGGACTTTTACTTACTTAGGCGATCCCTCGTTGGACGAGTAAGATGGTCTTCCATTATGGATTTCCCTGTGGGTCCGTAGGTGGCTGTGGAGCCCTATTCTTGCTCTGCATCTTCTTCCGCAGTGAGGGCATTGGTTTCCAGGTGGAAGGCGGTCCCGGTCGGGGTTGGCTTGACGCGCCTTCCTCCTGGCACGTTTCTCTCTTTCACCCTCCACTCGTGCCTCCTCAAATTCTGCAGCACTGCTGGTCACAGCTGACCTCCAGCTGGAGCGCTCAAGGGCCAGGGCTTCCCAGTTCTCAGTGTCTATGCCAGAGTTTTTAAGGTTGGCTTTGAGCCCATCTTTAAATCTCTTTTCCTGTCCACCAACGTTCCATTTTCCGTTCTTAAGTTCGGAGTAAAGCAACTGCTTTGGGAGAAGGTGGTCAGGCATCCGGACAACGTGGCCGGCCCAGCGGAGTTGATGGTGGAGGACCATCGCTTCAATGCTGGTGGTCTTTGCTTCTTCCAGCACATTGACATTTGTCCGCTTGTCTTCCCAAGAGATTTGCAGGATTTTCCGGAGGCAGTGCTGATGGAATCGTTCCAGGAGTTGCATGTGACGTCTGTAGACCGTCCACATTTCGCAGTCTTCCTTCTTCTTTCTCTCCTTTCTTCTTTCTCTATCTCTTTCATTCCTTCCTTCACTTTTTGGTTCCATTCTTCCTTCTCTCTTTCCTTCCTTCCTTATACTTCCTCCCTAGCAGCTATGGAGCCCTGAGTCTCCTTTTGTCATCCATTTCCCTGCATTCATTTTTCAATCCCCAAACAAGGAGGGAAATAAATGTGCAATGATAATTATTGATTAGGAGTCATCTTTCTGGGAAGCACAAGCCCTGGAAACAGCAACAAAAAAGCCTACTCTATGGTTCAAATTTGTGGATGAAACCTTCACCATTTGGAGCCATGGAGGAGAAGAACTCAACACATTCCTGTACCACCTCAACAGCATCCAGCCAAACACCCAATTCACCATGGAAAAAGAACATGAAGGAAAACTGCTGTGTCTAGATGTCCTATTGAGGTCGAACCCGGAACTCCCTGCCTTCAAGCTGATCTGACCCGCAGCAGGGAGTTCCTCAGTTCACCATTGCCCCACTTGGGCCAACCTGCATGAACGTGGCCACAGCAGCAGCTGCAACTCAGAAGCCTTCTTGTTAGTTCACTTTCTTCCCCCTCCTAACATTGTAACTAATCCCCTAATAAAAAGTATCAATTAATTGTAACCTTTTCCTCTCCATAGTGTTAATTTGTGTCCTTTCATTGCCTCTATCTTCTCTCTACATAAACCTTTCTTCTCCCGGGCCGCAGATGGCTGCCGGCACACTTGGGATGCAATTTTGGCATCCTGGGGAGGCCGAAACTGTGTTCCCTTAAACTGTGGATACGGAAACCCATTGGGTTTCCATATCCGCGAGTCAACAGATCACTTCAAAAATGGTGTCATTCTTCTCCTGGGAGAATTCTAAGACTAGTGGCTATCTATGTTTCGCTCCGCTAACCTCTCCGCCACAGGAATAACCTTTTATGTCCCTCAAACCTTGACCTGGAGCCCAGCTGTTCTTCTGAAGACACTGCCTCATTGCCACCATTTTGTGGGTGCCCAGGGAGCCTGCTGATCTTGGGAAACTGTTGCAGTCACCCCATAGGATCTCCAAGATGTCGGCGGGCTGCCTTGGCCCCTGGTGAGGAGGGATCTGTAGTTCTCTCCATGGATCTCTGATTGGTTCCCAACTCATTAACTTAACTCAGACCCAGGATTACATCATTCACAATCACCTGGACTAGGCCAGAACACATTCCTCAAATGATTCCCTATATACAGTTAATGCATGACTCAGCATTTCCAATAGAAGCCCATTAGCAGTGCATGACTCAGCTATATTACATTACAATACACTGTAAAACCCGACAATCTTGATCTTTCACACTGGCAGCCGGCTCATAAGAGCCCCATGGACTCTGGGACACCTTTTCCAACTTGTCTCCCCTGGATTTTACAACTTTTATCAACTTTCTTTAACTTTTAGGAACTTTTGAAGACTTTCTGGAACTTTTCCCCCAAACCCCATGGACTCCCCATTATGACTTGGGGACTATATGATTTCACAATATTGGACTCTATATGGACTTTGGTGGGTGGATGGGTTTATATGAATTTCCTTTCCCCATTTCTCCCTTGTGTATACCTTATGAATCCCCTATGTGTGTGTTTGTATATAAAAATATGGAAAAACCACCCTTTCGTGACCCCAGCAAGCCTTGGGAAATTTTCCCCTATTTCCTATTGACTTAAGGTTTCCAACAAGGACTCACTGCATGATAATAACAATGGTGCGCCTTTGGAAAAAGGAAGAGGGGCTGACCAAGTGCAAGATGGATGGATGGTATCCTTGAAGTGACTGGCTTGACCTTGAAAGAGCTGGGGTTGGTGACGGCCGACAGGAAGCTCTGGCGTGAGCTGGTCCATGAGGTCACGAAGAGTCGGAAGCGACTGAACGAATGAACAACAATTTAAAAACATTTAAGTTTGCATGTATTGTCGAAGGCTTTCATGGCTGGAATCACTGGGTTGTTGTAGGTTTTTTCAGGCTATATGGCCATGTTCTAGAGGCATTCTCTCCTGACGTTTCGCCTGCATCTATGGCAAGCATCCTCAGAGGTAGTGAGGTCTGTTGGAAGTAGGAAAAAGGGTTTATATATCTGTGGAATGACCAGGGTGGGACAAAGAACTCTTGTCTGCTGGAGCTAGGTGTGAATGTTTCAACTGACCACCTTGAT